CGGTCATCAGATCAATCCGTGGGTGGCGGTCGTTCCGGCAGTGTTTCGTGTCGCCTTGCTACTTCTGGATCGGCTTCCAACAGCAATAGCAAAAGTTCCCGCCGCGGCTCAGATCTTACCACCACCGGTGCAGGCACAGACCCCATGGGTTTGGTAAATTGGCTGAATAAGATATCCACGTCCATCTCCAAGATACACGTCTGGTGGACGTCTAGCGCGGACCAGGGAACGATATCATCGATAACCGAGAATCCAGTCCGTCTTAGGCTCACGAGTAGCCGGCAGGCATACCAACGTCGTGTCCGAAATTAAGACCGTTATTAAGCCGACGACACCCCGGCTACGATCCGGAGACTCGGTCGTTCCCTCTACGCCCCAGCTTCATGAGTGGAGAGACGATCTGATGGATGGAGTTAGCGTGCGCGCCGTGATCGAGTCGGCTCGTGGGAAGTAATCGTGACCGGGGTCGACCCCATCACGTTTGGTGACGATGGGTGGCTTGGGCATTCAGCACATCTCTACTTGGCCTACGAAACGGAGTACAACAGGGCATACTGAGACTCCACTCATGTCTTCCCAGTTCGCATCGCCAAGCGTCGCGCCAGTCGGTACCTGGACGCCTTCTACACCGGCCGTAAGCAGTGGTGATCCCGGGAGGGAGGGGGGGGGGCGGTAAAAATCCTTTCTTCGGTAGGTACTTGCTATGATCCTTGGTCTCTGTGACCTTGAACTACTGTTAGATCCGTATTTCTCCAGTTTCCCCACAAATGTGAGGCTGGAGCTTGGTACCCAGAGATTGAAGACGGCAGTAGCCCGGGCAATCTTCTTGAGGTCCTGACTATAGCGGACGAGGCTGATCGCTGGCGTAATCACTTCCGTGACATGCCGGCCGACCATCCCGCGCTTGGGGTTGCGCGTTTGCTAGGCAAGTTCATGCCTGATTCCCCAATGTCGTGTTACCTTTCCAACTATAACCTTAGTCGCGCTGGTTTCCGCGCCGGTGAGTGGGTCCAGTCGATACAACCAATATATGTTCCGCTTTATCTCTCCATATATCAGGAGAGTTTCTTTTGCTCTCATCATTTTTTTTGGCTCCCTGTCAGACCTTTCAAATTGGTCACCCATCTTCTATCGGCCCACTGTACATTACGAATACCGAATTACCTTAGTTATGCATTACACCCAATCTGCAGTGCAGAGACCAGAAATTGCGTGTCCCGGCTATCGGTATTTTCGAACAAACAGTCTATTTAAATTTAAGCAAGTTCACGAAAATGATCATGTACTTCTTTAGCAAATGTTTTTGCAATCTGGTCGAGCTCGGGAGGGCAAATTTGACCCTGGCGGGTCTTAGCTCGAAGGGCTAAGCGATGGCGACCTTTAAACAGGCTCTGCCAACTCCAGGATGCCGTGAACGCGTGGATACCGGCTTCGTTAGCTTCTGTGAGTGCCTGCAACCTTAGCATCATTGGTGTGACTGGCACCCCTTCGTCCCGTAGGTCCCCGACCCAGCGAACAAGTTTCAACTCTACTGAGTAAGGTAGAGCGGTAGCTACACCACTACAACGTGCCTTCATCTTCTTGGCTTCTTTAGGGACTGTACACGAAGCGACGATCTTGTGAAGAGATCGACGCCATGAATAAATGAGGATACGGCGGCAATTAAATTTGCTAGCTGGTAAATCAGGGTAGAACTTGTGAATTGCGGACGCAATACTACCGTTCTTGTCTAGATACTCTAGTACCCTCAGCTTGTGAGAAGTAGTGTACGCCGTAATGGTGTTCGTTGGTGCTTGGCGGCCCTTGCCACCAGGTAGGCGAGGCCTCCCCTTTGGGCGTTTTCGTTGCGTTGGACTCATCTGCGGCTTTGAGAAGTGAGACCAGTACTAGATAATGTAGGCAAATTACTGGTTGTCAAGTCGTGTAATTGATAACTAAGGATGCACGGCTTCTTTTCTCACTCAGCGTTTGGCGGCTTCTGATTGGCCACATTGAAGTGTAATTGATAACAAAGAGTAATTCATAACTAAGGTTATTCGGTACCACCTATTCTTTGAAACCAGCGGCCATCCTTCTTCATCTCGCTTCTTCACAGTGGCCAACTCACCCCAACTCACCGCAAATGTTTCACGGCCTACTCCTCGTGCGACTGCATCGCCTTGAAACGGTTGCGACCCGATCAACTTCGAAATCGTCCGCATCCAGCTCACACTCCCATCAGTCTTCGGGCAGTAAGCCCTCGTCAAAATCCACGCGGTCTACCATGTCGATCGTCAGCGGAGTGATCGGACGGCCTGGGTAGGTCGTGACCAGCTTCAGTTTCGTCACGTTTATAATCGGGAATAGTCGGTACCCCGTGGCCGCGGTTTCCAGCCCAGCGGCGTGTTGATCAACCATCTTTGCCACCATGAAAAGACCGTGCCATGTGTGTGCCAGATTCTTAGAGTAGCCTTCCTTAACGCGATTCAAAGCTAGCCATACTCGATCACCTGCCTTGATATCGTGAGGGCGCATCGCTTTCTTTCAGCCTGGCTCCCGATCGTGTCAGATGGCTTCGCTTGCGCCAAACCGACGGATTAGAGGAAGTCAGAATGTAGAAATGGTACGAAAAATATCACCACTCGGACGCTAATAAAATGGTCAGACATCTCCCAAAATATGGCACCGGTCAGAATTGAAATGGATGACTATTTATATTCACTTCCCCTTGCTGCATGCAGCCGTGAGGGTCAGCGGAAGACGCTATGCACATGCGGAGGGTGTCTACACACTTCGGCAAAGTAAAGAGAAGTGCCAAAGTGCCAAAGACACTTCTACATGCTTTCTCACAGCGTCCGTATGTGTATATTTGGGTCAGTGACCACGTAGTATACCTGTTGCACTTCTCGAATCTGCATATGTACCTTTCCGCGAGCTTAGCGTCTCAATGTAGCACCTTACAGCATGATACACCGCGTGTGCCGGAGCACAAACTACATTTTGTACGTAAGCTTAGAGCGATGCTGGGCGATGCCAAGGCCACCGAACGCTTGCTAGCCGCATGCAAGGGAGGATATCGATGTTGAAGGATCGAAAGTCATACATATTAAATGATTACAAGAGTGATGGTCAGTCAAAAATGGTTTATCTGTTGTGGTGAACCATTTTCAAAATGTAAACGGTCGCGAATCATAAAAGGTATGGTAGTCATATTGGCCAGAAAATGACTGCAAAAATGTCAATTCTGCCCTCCCTAATACGCACTCTTCATACTTCTTGGCGTCCGTCTGTACGGTTCTCGACGCGCCTGCCTTGGCTACTACGTGTACGTATCCCGAGAGCAAGCCAACCCAGATGAGCAATACAGTGTTGCCTTTGTACGACATCGGCCGAGAAGGGATGGGGTCCATAGCGATGTACTGAGATGGGTACGTCGCCTGCATGTTCCTAGGCGATTCTGCTTGAAGTGTTGGGTGAGCTTCCCTGTCCCACAGTCCACACATCGTCCCACGTAGCGCTGCACACTCTTGAATATGCCGCGCCGGTGAAGGTGCGATCGGATGCGCTGGTACGGCTTTTCGACCCTCTGGTGTCCTGCTTTTAGGCAGGTAGGGTGACGATGATGCACGTCTTGTTTAAGGTCTTCCGGCACCGCCATCTTCGCCACTTGATCGCGATCGGCATCATTCCCGGACAATAGAAGAGTAGTCCGAGCTCGTCGACTTCGTATTCGGCAGCGATTTCTCCGCAGGTGCGAGCCTCACCGGTACTCAGTTTCTCCAATTCGCCAGACAGGTACGTCTTCAGATCCGCGACTCACTTCTGTTCGTCTTGTGCGTGCCGGGTTCGATCTGCTCTCATGTGTTGTACGATGTCTGACTGCAGCACTTCTGAAGCGCTTTCTAGACGCGATCGTGTCGCGGCCGCAACGCGTCCAGTCGGCGTCTCGTATTTCGACGACAGAAGCTCCGGCAATTCGCTGAGACGATCAGGTCTGCTCGGTCGGCCTCCGAGGTAATCACTGGGCCTGCTTGCTGCTGTAACGCGTTGCTGGCTAACCGATCCGCGCTATGATTCCATTCTCGTTTCACGTGTTAGGAACTCGTGAGACGCACGGTTTTAGTCGATCTAGTGCTTGTCGTCGAAGCAGCGTCAGTCCGGACTCCCTACACTCGATCTCGCCGCGCAATTGGCGGATAATCTCCGCATATGATCACGCGTCCCGTGTCCAAACCGGACAGTCGATCGCAACCAAGAAACGATCCTTAATATTCCGCCTCGTTCACTGTCCAATCAGCCATATACTTCGATTGTGCCGCCATGACGGACCACTCAAGTAGCTTCCACACGACAGCGCTACAGGCGCCACCACCTCGTTTAGCTCGTGCTGATCCATCGAAGCTTACAGCTAGCGCTTCTTCGTCTTGCTCGACAGTAGGTGGGATCACTATGACCTGGTGCCTCGGCTGTTTTTTAGGCGCGGCCGACGTCAGAATCGAATCAACATTTTTGCGGAAAGTAATGTTCGCTGCGAGCGTACCCAAGATTTCGTCTTCTCCCCTTATGATTTTCAGCGTCCACGGTGACAATATAACTGCCCAATTGCCCAGTCGACTTTGTAGACCAGATTATCGGAGCATGTCGAGTATCTCGTCAGTACCTTAATTGTCCTTGCTATCAACGTCGTATGCAGACATCCAAGATTCGGAGTAACGCCAACACTTCTTTTTCATCCGTGCCATACATGTAGTTCAATTCGTTTGGCTTGGGCGTGCGACTGGTGAATGTTACAGGCATGTGCACTCCATCGTGATCTTGCACCAAGGCTGCAGAGATCGCCCAGTGCGTAGACTGTCTGGGTCGAAGAGTCGGTGCGGACTTACTCTCGTACTTAGTTGGAGAAGCACAAATCTATTGTATTTTACTCCTAAGGCTTACTTCACCATTACTTATTCTTTACTTTTCTGTTTTTTGGCGAAAATCTGTGGCCATCGAAAAACTCTTTCATCTCCATTTCAGCTATGACACCCTGTGCCGTCTCCGTGTTCTACGGCTCGCAGACCGGCTGCGCTGAGTCCATTGCCCAGGTTAGATTTTACATTCTACTTGCATCCTTGCTCAACTGTACTACAGTACTCACCAAATCACAATAATTATAATTATTGCGCTCTCACATTCCTCAGCGTATTTACGACGAGGCAATGGAAAAACAATTGGACGCAGAGCTGCACCCGCTCAACGAGTTCCAGAAAGTGCGCTGTAGATACATGTGCTGCTCTGCTGTGTTATATTTGTAAGCCTTGCAGCGCTGCGGATGCTGAGTATGTGTTGCTTGACGACAGAGCAAAGTCGAGACGCGGGACGGACACTTCGTGGTCATCGTGTGCTCCACAACAGGCAACGGGGACCCGCCCGACAATTGCGGCAAGTTTTGGCGCTACGTGAAGCGCAGAACGCAACCCGATGACATGTTGGCTAAGCTGCGGTACACAGTGTTGGGACTCGGAGACACCAACTACGACAAGTTTTGGTGAGAGTAGAGTGGGTGGCAGAGGAGGTTGATGCGGGCTAACACTCTAGGGTTGGATTGGTGCAGTTTTATGGGAAAAAGTATCGAGAAGCGCATGCGAGAGCTAGGTGCGCAGAGCTTCTACGAGTTCGGTATGCCGCTGTCCTTAAACCATTATTTTTTAGCTGTTCTAACGACCTATTAATTTGTAAATAGCTGCTGCTGACGAAGCGATGGGACTTGAGGAAAGTGTGGAGCCATGGCTGAATGGTCTTTGGGAGGCGTTTGACAAAGCAAATGGTGTGATTGGAGTGGCCACCGATGTCGGTTCCTCAAGTTCGTGTGTCAAGGAGAGTAGTGCATATGGTGATGAGGCTACGGATGCGTTGCCGGCTGGGAAAAAGTCGTTAACTCTGGCCACTGTGAACGCGTCATATCTCTTGGAGAAGCTCATTTCGTACGAGAAGATGTTTGGTCCGCTGGACGCTCCAACGGAGACACCTGAAGATCTTCCTCGACTACAGTCGTCGCTTCTCAGTATGCGGTTCCTACGTGATGAAGAGCTTCAGACCCCAAGCTTTAGTATGACCAGTATGACTACCGATGATAATGATACCGAAATTAGCTCGACGAACCCAGTCTTGGCTTCAGTGGTTGGTGCCGAGTATCTAACGGCCCCACACGCCGCGAGGAAGGTTCTTCGTCTTGACGTCGACGTCAGCGGCTTAAATATTCAGTACGTTCCTGGAGACTCGATCGGCATCAAGTGTCCTAATCGACTGGAAGATGTGGATGCTCTACTGTCATGCTTGGGGGTCAACGGAGATGAAATCTTCTCCGCTGAGCCTGTTGCGGCCACAAACGGACGTGCAGCCAAACGGAAGAACACTTCAATCCACTTCCCATCACCATGCAACGTCCGCGACGTCTTCCTAAACCACGTCGACATCCTGAGTGTACCGAAGAAAGCTGCAGTTCGTGCTCTTGCGACGTATTGCTCGGACGAGGAGGAACGTGCTCGGATGCTGCTGTTAAGCAGCAAGACTGGCGCACAAAAGTACAAGGTAAGAACGGTCACTTGACAAGCCGTCGCTGTGCTTTATTATCTGACATTTGTAACCATACAGGAGCTCATCTCGGAGCAGCATCTTAACTTCGTGAAGATCCTCCATCTCTTCCCGTCCTGCAAGCCTCCGCTTGACCACTTGTTGACTCTGATACCGCAGTTAATGCCTCGGTATTACTCGATCACCACGTCGCCGCTGGTCGATCCTACTCGACTGTCCGTGGCGTTCACTGTCGTTGAGTACGTAGTAGGTGAGCATGGCCTCCGTCGCCGTGGGCTCTGTACGAACTGGCTGAACAAGATCTGTCAGCCATTAATCGACGCCAGTGTAGCTGCCTCCACAGGCGTGAAGATCCCAATCTTCCTAAGAGGAACTCAAGACTTCCGTCTCCCCGAGAATTCTCAATCCCCCATGGTTCTCATCGGCCCGGGTACTGGCGTCGCCCCGTTCATGGGATTTTTGCAACACCGCTACCATGAAGCCAAGGATGCTGCGTTGCCAGGTGATGCATACCTGTTCTTCGGATGTCGACGTCAGAGTGAGGACTGGCTGTTCAAGGAGGAGATGCAGGAATTCGCCTCGAATGGCACGTTGACGCAGCTTTTCACTGCTTTCTCTCGCGACCAAGATGAGAAGCATTACGTCCAGCACGACTTACGTGACAATGCG